TATATATATATATATATATATATATATATATATATATATAATCTCTCTCTCTCTCTCCCTCCCTCCCTCCCCCCCCCCTTCTCTCACTCCCTCCCCCTCTCTCTCCCCCCTCTCTCTCTCTTGTGTTTCATGCATTGTGCCTTCAAATTGCATGGTGCCAATTTCCAAAGATGGTAGCTCTTGACATTCTGACACATTTTCTCTTTGTAGGGTTGGCTTGGTGGAGTCTAAAATCCGTGTGCTTGTTGGACACTTGGAGAGAAATGAATTCATTACTCTAGCCCATGTAAATCCACAGTCCTTCAGTGGGAACAGGGATCAGTACAAAGAGTGAGTTAATGTCAACACTATTGTATTGTGTTGTATTGATGTCTGCTTTTAAAGACAGGCTAATACTGCTAGTTAGAAAGTATGGTATGTCTGTCTTTCCATCCTCAGTTGTTTTTTTTGTGTGTAATGAGACAAAGTAAGCAGTGGGAAAATATGGGAGGCACATGATAATGTTGCTTATATGGGAGGCACATTTGAAGCCTTTAAGGTACACTATTGTTAGCTGTTGGATTTTATAGTTTATCAAATAGTTTTATATCTATGGATATTCTCAGTCATCCAAGATTGTCATCCAAGATCCCAAAGGTACTTTCCAAAGGCAACTGGACTTTCTTTGGGTTGTTTTTTTTTTACTTGAAGCTGTTTAGTTTCTCATCCAAGAAGCTTCTTCAGTTCTGAAGAAAGTTCAGTTGCCTTTTGAAATGACCTTTGAGTCAAATAGTTTTAATTATTCTTCTCAGCAAACTTTGAGGAAGCCCTAGATTCACCCAAGCACACTTTCAGTTATCTATTTGTTTTGTTTCTATATAAAACTTATATGGCTGCCTATCCTATACACAAAAGTCTTAGGCAGTTCACAATGATATTCATTAAAAAGGGAAGAAATAAAGCCAACCACAAAGCAAGACCATTTAGCCAAACCATAGCACCAAAACCTCCTACTTACTTTGCATTTACATTTGCTTGGGCTCCTTTGGATCTTTGCCCAATGTGAAATGTTCATAACCCTCCTGAAGGACTACTAGGGTAGAAGCCCCCCAGATCTCAGGGCACCCTTGGAAAAAGAGCCATACCTACTTTTATTAATTGACATGGAGTTAGTTTTAATATCAATGACACATACTATTTCTCTCTATTTTCTTTCAAACCATAATTCCTAGTGATAATTTCTAATGACTGGAAAATGTACATGTTTTGTAATCTTGAATTGCCTAATATGACTCAAAGAGGGTTTGAATTTTTAAAATATCTAATGTTGCTGATTTTTGTCTATTTAATGGGATTAGAATGTAAATAAGTATTGGGTTTATAAATGCATAAATGAATAAAAGCATGGAGGAGAGTATTTGCAAGGAAGGACTAACTGATGTGAATAAAGTTGCTCACCTTGAACTTGCCTTTGCACATTTCCCTCTTTTTGTATCTACCTAGCCAGGTAAGGATAGGGGCAGACAAACTGTTTTGCAGGAGAATTTGATGAGAAAATAGTTCAGCTTCTTCCTGGCTGATTATATTCCTGGTTCCCCTAATAAGGGTCAAAGCAGTATGGAACCTGCAGTTCAACTTCATTTAGCCTCATTCAACCCTTGAGGGCATTTAGTGTGATGTTGCATGCCTTCTCCAGACTTCTCTGTGGTGCAGCTGCTGTACAAATTCTTTGAAAGCCCTGTTCTTGCTAACTGCAAGTCAAAGGAGACCTCCCAGTGTAGACACCAGAGCTTCTAGGAGAGGTTGTGAAGGGTGTGAGCTCAGTCATTATTTGTGCCTTATAGAAGCATGGCCTTCCAGAAAATTAATAGTGTGAAAGCAAGGAAACATGTAGAGAAAGAATAAATGTAAAATGACAGTTAGTTTGGTAAAATCTTCTCCCTCCATTGACCTTGTTAGATAAAAGTGAGATGGGGAATATTTTTTCAGTTAGCATACTATGGGTGAGAGTGAGAGATTTTACACCTGAGTTTTCTCTCTCTCTCTTTTTTATCCAGTTATGTGTGAATTTATATAAATGTGGGCATGCAGATATATGTGCATGCAGTTGATATGCATGTCCAGCCCAGCTGAGCACTCCATAAAGTCCATAGGTCCCAACACATTGTTTTCTCTTCATTAGAATAATAAAAGTCAAAACTCTTCTCTATTGCAAAGTCCATAATGTCTTTGTAACATATAATGTTCTTTATTATGTTGACATCTGAATATCTGCAAGGAAATCAGTCTAATGCATAAGTAATCTGCATTTAGCTCTTACCCACAACACTTCTGGCATTGGAGCATTTAATAATATGTTGTTTTGTGTCTCTTCCTCTAGAAGTGATTATGTGTCAATGTGGTTTCTGGGAATAATTTTTAAGAAACTGGAGAACACAGAGAGTGTAAGCGTTGACTTAACTTATGATATCCAGTCATTTACAGATACAGGTAAAGTTTTTTCCCCTTAAAAGTCCTGTTCTGAGTAGACCAATATTATTTCAGATGTATACCTCACTTTAGTGTACCTACATGTGCCCATGACATCTTGGCAACCAAGTGAAATGTCATCCATAATGAGATGGCTTATAAAAATGAGAAAATAAATATTTACCTATTAAATTTGTGTACCTCTCATCACGCCTAAATGACTATGGGCGGCTTACAACAATACACTAATATGGCCACGGAGAAAATTTGAAATTGAATAATTTGAATAATTTGTGCTGAAGTAAATTTCTCCTTTAGTTTTTTTCAAAGATTTACTATTTTTTAAATACCTTTAAAGTCTATTGGACTGACACAATCCTGATTTGTTGATTGCAAAAGAATACATGCTTTGCTCACTTTTTAATCACATCCTTTACATGTATATATTGAACCTGCTTTTAGATGAATCTGCTCCCTAAAGCCTTGGAATTATTGGCAATAGTGTAAAATTCAATATAATCAATGGGAGTTTCTCTTAACTATGTTGTAGTGAAGCATTTATCTTTCCAAGCAGCGTTCTTGGAATTTAATTAGATTCTGTAGTTGGCTTTGCCTTTAGAATTAAATAAGAGTTTTACAATGGACTCCCCTGGATGCATTTTCACGCAAGTCCAATTAGGACTCGTCCTTCCCCAGAGGAAGAAAAATAGGCTCACTATTCAAAATATATGAGGTTTTTATTTAGAGATGAAAAGTACCTTGTGAAATGTAGTTAATCAGTCAGCCTAGAAATTGCTGCAGAAACTATTTTTATAAGCCAAACATTGTAAGCAACATAGGTTTGTATTCATTGGAAAGAAAGAAAAAGCCAAAACTCACAATCATATTATATGTTTTCCAAAGTGAAGCCCTCTGCCCAGTAATTTGTTGAGCTTTCTCATAGCAGTTTTCCAATTGCTGATTGTTAAATTTTCTGGAATTTTGCAAGCAAAATGAATCTCCAACCTAACACATTGATCAGCTGTTCAGTAAATAGCAATGGGGCAGTAGCTATGGAGTCATCAGAGTCAGTTATTAATTATCATCATGCCATTGCCTCTGACTCTATACAGACTAGGAAATTTATTTCAGGATATAAAAATATAGGTAGTCCTCCATTTATGGCTACAGTTGAGCCTGGAAGTTTGATCATATACCATTGCAATTGTAAATTGAGTCACCACAGGACCAGACTAGATTTTACAGTTGCTTTTATGATGGTCATTGAGTGAATCCCATGTTTGTAAGACCAAATCTAGCTTATCCAATGGGTGCTTTTTTGCCATTTTTTTTACCAGAAAATAACAAAAAACATTGCAAAGCATGGTCGTGTGACCATGGGATGCTGCAATTGGTTATAAATGCAAACCAGATGCCAAGTGCCCAAAGTGAGATTATATGACTACAGAAGTTTTGTAGCTAAACGTGTGTGTGTGTATGTAGACACACATATACATACATACATACATACATACATATACATACACTCACACACACACATAGACACACACTATTCTGTAGTTAAACATGTATATACTATTCTAATTGTATAAGCTAGTCCTTTCCCCTTCTATTAATTTATTTTTTTCTTGGATAAGATGTGGTTTTAAGTTATATAAGCTCTGTTTTAGAAAACATTAATAATTTTATATTAATTTAATGAAGACAATAAACCAGTTGGCCGTTGTTGTGTTATAAATCCTAGTTTCTAATACACTAACTCCCATGTAATGATATAGGCCAAGTTAACATGTCCAGTATGCCTCAGTATTTCATTGCATGATCAAACTAATAAACTAAAGAAGATTGATGCTTAATTCTCCAGGGGGCGGGGAATTATCTAGGCTTCCACTTCAGAATCTTAACAATCAGATTCCAGAAGAAAAAAAAGATTGTGTCTATATCCCTAGGTTCCCCCTATTTTACCCTGCTTGTAAAATTAAGTCTACTGGACCATTAAGCAACCTAAAATCTTCAGGAGCTGAAGTATCAGGACTCATAAGGCATATGTACTGCAAAAAAATAAACTGGGTTAGATAATTTTCTTTATTTCTGTTCACTGATCATGTGGTAGAACTCTGTGGCTTCATTTCATTACCTAAAGATAGAATAATAATATTGTAATACCAAATCTGATATATACTTTATGGGTTGGGAAACTTCTTCCAGCAGCAGCAGGACAGCAAGTTAAAGACTGATCAAAGTTGCTTGAGTTGTTGGATAACTTCTTGACTTTATCATCTTTGATCTTAGTTTATAGGCAGGCAAACAATATCAACATGTTGAAAGAAGGCATGAAGATTGAAGCTACTCATGTGAGGAAGAAACAACTCCATNCGGTATATAAGTCTACTGCTATTGCATTCATCTCCCTGTAGTATCTATGGAGATTCTCAATCATCCAGGACAGGTCATGGTTGTTCCGAAGGTGCTTTTTGCAAAAAGTAAACTGGACTTTCTTGAAGGGGGGTTTCTTTGAAAATGTTTCACTTCTTCATCCAAAAAGCTTCTTGGATGAGAAGCAAATTGTTTTCTAAGAAAATACCAATAAAGTCCAGTTGCCTTTGGAAAAAGTACCTTTGGTCTTCTATAATGCCATTCCTACCACTCTTATTCCACAAGAATATAAGTTTCTGTTGGCTCAGGGGCTGCATTGTATTTTCTATGATGTGGAAATACTCCAGAAATGAGTAAAGCCAATATCCGGTTTGGAAGGTGGTTTCAAGAATTATAACTGTTGAAACTGGTCTCTTAAGCATCAATATTTTGTCTACTAAATTTGTCCAAAAATGAAAAAGGTTCACATTTTTCAGGGGGGATGCTGAAGTGAGAGGTTTCACTTTTTGTTACCCTGCCCTATAGTTTGGAAATAAAGAAATTATCTCAATCACTGAACCTCCTCATGAAGATTCCACACCTAATCTTAGTTGTGTCTTATTTGGATGTACTCTTGTGTGGAGTTGCCTTGATAAATTGGCCAGAAGCCAGTTGGATCTAGAAGTAATATAGCAATAGCTCTTAGACATATATACTGCTGCATAGTGCTTTAGAGCACTCTCTGGGCAGTTTATATCAGCATATTGCCCTTAACAATCTAGATAGATCCTCATTTTACCAACCTCAGAAGGATGGAAGGCTGAGTCAACCTTGAGTCTCATCAGGATTGAACTCCAAACTATGAACAGAGTTTTCCCGCAATGCTGCATTCTAACCACTATGCCACCAGGGCTTCTTTCTGGCAGATAGCTGGGATTTGCTGGTAAATTTGTCTTTTCTGGCTTCCAGTTTTTATTTTAGGGGTAAGGTTAGGTTAAAATTTATTATATCTTAGAGCATAGAGATGTCCGTTTCTCAGGTGAACCTGTCTGCAGATTAAACCCACAAAGGTGTGCTTCAATATTTCTCCTTTTATGAAGGAAAAACTGAGGAACAGTTAATGTTCCTCATTTATAATTCTACCTGGAGTCCCGGGTGGGCGTGGCCATCTTGACATTGCTCATGTCGGGGGTATCTGTGGTGGCCTGAGCGGAAACGGGCTCCTGCCACCCTCTGCCAATAAAAATGGAGCTCAAGTGCGCCACATGCGCCCCCCCCCCCTGGAGCTCTGTCTTTGCTGACAGAAGGCAGCAGGAGGCCATTGCGGCTGAAAACGGAGCCTGGGAGGGCCACACGCAGCCTTCCCATGCTCTGTTTTTGCTAGCAAAGGCACTGCAGGCCGATCCTTTGCTATTTCTAGGGTGGCCCCTCAGGCCAGATCTAAGCACCCCATGGGCTGGATCCAGCCTCCAGGCCTTGAGTTTGACACCCATGTTATACATTATTTCTGTACACTTGTTTTTAATTTTTCTTTTAAAATACATTGCTATTGCCTATTACAAGTTGGTGCTTAATCCCAAAGAACACCTCACTCCCATCTCCCATTAATACTTGTCAAGTCTTGATGTAAAATATACATAGATGCATCATTAAAAACTAACAGCTCAAATTGTTTTTCTGGGGAGAAAGAAAACTCACCTCCAAGGCCACACTTGCAACTTTAGGCGGATCTGGTAGTTTCACCAGCTCTCCAAGATTTTCAGGAACTTTCACTACAACTGTTAGCAAATCAGTTCTTCTGTTGTCGAAATTTCTTTCATGGTGTCTGTCATTTGTTTTTATTCTTTTCTGCCACTTTCCCACTATTCCCACTTTCCTGCCATTAAAGAATTTAGGTTCCTTTCTCATATTCACAACAAAATATTTTCTTCCCCATTTCCTATGTACAAGGATTTGTTTTCCTATCTGTTTTGTCACTATCTGGTGACTAAGAGTTGAATGATATATTTTAGATATCTTGTCATCCCTTCTAACAGTACCATTATTAAGACGTTTTCAAAAGGGAAATAAATACCATACAGCTGTTAATTTTATTTGATAGCATTTGTCCCCTTTCTTCCAGAATGGCTTATGTGGATGTTATAACCTTTCAGACAACATGAAAGGAAAAATAATATAAAAAAACAAGATCAACACCAGTTCTTACTGTTCCATTGATCTTATAATAAGCAGCTTTAATGCAGTTGTAAGGCTGTAATTGTGAAATAATTTTCTGCTAATTAATGCCACTGATTAATTTTCCTCTTGAAAGCATTGGAATCCCCTCCTTGATTCTTATTCTTTAATGGATATATATTAACCTTGCGAAAGATTTTCCATTAGGTGGCTGTTCCTCCAGCTGGCAAAAGATTAGACTCTAACCAAAGTAAAAATGTTCATGGAAGAACCAGGGATCTCCAACATTGGCAACTTTTAAGACTTTTGGGCTTCAACTCCCAGAACTTTAAGACTTGTGAACTTCAACTTCCATAGACCAGGGGTCTCCAACCTTGGCAACTTTAAAACCTCTGGACTTCAGCTCCCAGAATTTTAAGACTTGTGGACTTCAACTTCCAGAGTTCCTCAGCCAGCAACTCTGGGAGTTGAAGTCCACAAGTCTTAAAGTTGCCAAGGTTGGAGACCCCTACCATAGACCAATAGCATGGGTAGTCCTGTAGCAGACTAATTAAAGTCCAATACTTTGCCAACTTCCCTCAGGCAACTCCTCCATATGACATACTGTTGATGTAGGAAAGGTTGTCTTCTCCAATGGAAAACTCTGTCTTCCTGTCAGATCAAGTAAATCAACTTCAGCCTGCCTCTGAATGGAGATGCCAAGGGGTGAGCAGGCTGGAGCTGTATGTGCAAAACAGAAAACACAAGGAAAGACGTGGACAACTTGTCTCATAATATTAAAACCCAAGACCACAGTCTGAGTTGTAGTAGATTCAAGATGGATAAAGGAATATTTTTATAGCACATACAATAATATCTGCCCATTTGGATGGTGTATATCCGTGGCTACTAATGGATTCCCACAATATCTGTATGACCACTATAGAAATAGATTGCTGAATTAAATTCAATTTTGCTAATTTGATATGTCTCTTGTATCTTTAAACATCATACATGTTGTAGGATGAGTCTCTTTGATTCAGGCCTCAGCACTCCAGCTGGGGTAAGCACAATACCCCAATGCTCTACGTAGAATAGAACAGAATAGAATAAAACAGAACAGAACAGAATAGAACAGAATAGAATAGAATAGAATAGAATTCTTTAGTGGCCAAGTGTCTTTGGTTCATATGCTCTCAGTGTACATAAAAGAAAAAGAAAAGATACATTTGTCACGCATCATAAGATATCATAAGGTACAACACTTAATGATAGTGTCTAATGCCTCCACATAGCTGTTATTTAAATTTCTCACAGTGCCCTGAATCAGCATTATGTAATTCAGATAGTCCTTGACTTACAACAGTTCATTTAGTAACGATTTAAAGTTAAAACAGCACTGAAAAATGAACTTATAACCTTTGCAGCATCCCCATGGTCATGTGATTAAAATCCAGTTGTTTGGCAATTGGTTCATATTTATTATGGTTGCAGTGTTCCAGGGTCATGTGATCACTTGCTACAACTTTCTGATAAGCAAAGTCAATGGAGAAGCCAGATTCACCTAACAAACATGTTACTAACTTAAAAATTGCAGTGATTCACTTAACAACAGTGGCTAGAAAGATCGTAAAACAGGGCAAAACTTGCTTAACAAATATTTCACTTGACAACAGAAATCCTGGGCTCAATTGTAGTCATAAATTGAGGACTACCTATATTGCCAACTGCCAACCCTTTCTGATCAACAAGTTCAGCATCTTAGCCACAGAGCCACAGCGTTCCATATTGCTGTCTACCACCATATAAATCCATCAAAACTTTTTAAAGAACTTGCAGGACTCCACTGAAATAAACCCCATTTGCAGGATATTGGAAAGAAGACTGAACTAATAATAGCTGATTTGAATATTCTTGCTTTTTGTGACATATTTTGGTAACTATTTTAAAAGCTACTTTTAATACATGTGGCATATAATTTGCAGAAAGAAAATAAAAATATACTTTTTCTCCAGGATGGCAAAATTTAGGTTTGTGGAATCTACTTCTCCTTTCTTTTTTTACCAGAACCCCTAGGTCCACCAAAGTGAGGAAGATGCAAACTAGTGGTTCGAGAAGCAGATACTCACTAAAAAGGAAGATAATATCTTTAAGCGCATATCCTGCTTCAAAATTAGCACTCAGTAATGGAACAAACCTCACAATCTTTTCACACAAAAATCTATTCTAGTCCCATTTGGCGGTCAGGTGAAAAGTTTTTAATTATTTAGCTGTAAAAAAATTAAATAATTTTGGAACTGCCAGAGTTGTAAAAAAATTAAATAATTTTGGAACTGCCAGAGTTGTTTATAAGATGGGTGGCTACATAAATGTTTTAAATCAATGGATATTGTTTATTATTATGGTTGCAGTGCTGGAACAAGACACTACACCCCAATGCCTAAGACATTCTCTACCTCCATCTCAAATCACAAGATTTGAAAAACAGTCACAGTATCTTGGCATCTGAACTAAAATGTAAAAAGCTACCAAAATTATCTCTTTCTCCTCTTAGCTATTAAATAACATCTTCAAAAATATTTTGTGCTTCTCAAAATTAATTTCCTAGGATAACTGGCTCATTCAGCTTAATGATTGGAGTGGCCTTTTCTTAGCAGATCTCAATCTACTTTCATAAGAAACACCAACAAAGGGCTAAACATTCTATCTGTTCTTCAGGTGATCTCTTAAGATAAAGGTTCCCCTTGCAAATATATGCTAGTTGTTCCTGACTCTAGGGGGCGGTGCTCATCTCCATTTCAAAGCCGAAGAGCCAGTGTTGTCCAAAGAGTTCTCTCTGGTCATGTGGCCAGCATGACTAAACACTGAAGGTGCATGGAACGCTGTTACCATCCCACCAAAGNCTTTGATCTTAGTTTATAGGCAGGCAAACAATATCAACATGTTGAAAGAAGGCATGAAGATTGAAGCTACTCATGTGAGGAAGAAACAACTCCATTTTTATTTACCAGCAGACTTCTTGCAGAAGAGGAAAAAGGTTGGTCCAAATTTTGGGTTATCTGACAATACTTCATTTACAGATCTGGGTATTTATAAACTGGAATTATCTCAACAGAGCGTGCCTGATCTTGGTGGACATGCTTATGGGGTCATGTTGAAAAAGACAATGGAAAATGATAGTGGTTTGGACACTTACAGCAGTGCAGAAGTTACCACACAGTGCAGTAGTGTTCCCTCATTCAACAACGTGGTGGAATATTGCAGTACATCTTTTTCAAAAGGGATAGAAAGGTGAGTGTTGTGTGGCTGTGCAAGTGTCTGTCATATGGGTAGCATCAGTATTACTTCTAAGATGTGAGCAATAAATAATTTGCATGGGTATTTGTATGTGTTCTGGCCCAGCTCCCCAATCATGACAAATCCTCTGATGTGAACTCAAAAGATTCCTTGATCAGGAATGCCAGCAGCCCTGGCAAGAAGTTTTTCTTGCAGGCTAAGTCCGGCTGGCCGGAAGATGAATAGTTGACTGCCACACCTATTCATCGCCGTCCCCTGCCTTTTATCCCCAGAAGCTAGGGTGAGACCTCACTAGCAGCAGTGGATCAGCCCACGGTTTTCCACTGCTCTCCTCTTCTTTGCCTTCTGCGCAGCCATGCATCAGGCACTAGACCCAGCTGTTCCTCCTCTTCTTCATCAACCACCTCCAGATCTGGGGGCTATTGACTCTCCATCTGAGGGCTGATCGATGGCCCAGGCCCCGCCTCTCTCTCTGAAAGCTCCATTTCCTCTTCCCCCTTGGAGCTCCCAGGTTGCCCTGATGCTGACCCTAACTCCCATACCTCCTCTCCTCCTCTGATTTGGCTACTGGAGGGGCCGACAGGCCACAAGTGTATAGTTTTTTTAAAGGCCTTGGAAGGCCAGAATGATACGAGATATACAGTATATACCACAAGAATAGGAGAAAACAATGTTCAGCCTGTGCTTTGAGGGATTTAGTAGGACTTAAGAGACAAAACGGATGCAAAATAGAGATTTAAAGCACCTGTATTTTGCCAAATAGGGGAGGCAGAAAAACTCTCTATAAAATCATGGTCTCACATAGTGTGATTTGCCCATTCCTAAGCCAGCTTATGTTGTGTTGGTAACAAAGGAGAACAGGCTTCCCAGAGGCTTGCTAAAGTGTAAAACCTGGTCCGCTGCCTTCAATAAAGCCGCACCACGCTTACCAAACTTTTGCTCCTAATTACCGGTATTCCTTGCATCTTTTTGGTCAAATTTCTGTCAGATACCCTGGGAGTCCCACTTGAAAAAATTATCCCAGGTAATTCTTACGTTTTCTTTTTCTACTTTCACTTTTGAAAAGGACACAATTTCTCATAAACATTTCTGAAATGCTTCTAACAACAGTCCCTGATTTTGTTCCATGAATACATTCACTCAATAGTCTCATTACTTTTTAGTTCTGGTCACTATATTGGAGGCTCCTTGTTTAGCCTTCTTCACTCACTCAAGCAATTTATTTCCATCAAAATCATTAAGCATTTTACTTTTTCTTTTAATCTTAGCCACCATCTCATTTTAACCTCGTTCTTTTCAACTATTTTTTTTCCTATAGACCAGTGTTTCTCAACCTTGGAGACTTGAAGTCCTGTGGACTTCAACTCCCAGAATCCCCCAGCCAGCACAGCACAGCACAGGACTTCAAGTCGCCAAGGTTGAGAAACACTACTATAGACCTTATCTTTCTTTACCCTTATATTTGCACTAGTTCATTTTCCTCACTTACAGCCTCTTTCCCATTGTCATTCTACCAAGCATCCCCCTACATGTTTTCATTAACATAACTCCATAGACTTTGATGGCATGAGTAACATAAGACCTTTCTCTTTTCCAAGCTACTTCCAAATTTTCTTTTCTTAAATCATATAGAATTTCTCTAATTAATTCCTTCAGTTTGCCAACATAAATAATCAGATTTCCTCATTCACTCTTTTTCTATGTGTGCTTATGAATAGACTTATTCTTAAATCATGTATCTCAAATAGACTTTTTCTAAACAGAGATACTCCAATTGTCATTCTCCTCAATTCTCATCTATTCATTAAGTCATCCCCATCCATTTTCCCATGTTATTATGGAAGGCTTTTATCATCATGTCTCCTCATCTCCATGAAATGTTTCTTAACCGGTGCTGCTTTTCACAGGTCTGATGTCTTTCAAAAAACTACTATATCTGAAAGGCAAGAGAAACCAAGGACCATCACTCAGTCAGCGATGTCTGTACCAGGTAGTGGCTCTTGTATATTCTAATTTCAAAATTAATTAATATTCTTTTTAGGACTATTAAATACAACTTAACGTTACTCCAATTTGCAGGCTTGAATCTTACAGCTTCAGCAAACACAACTCTGCCTTTAAGTTCCGGTAGTGTCTCCATGGCCATAGAGCAGAATAAAACTCCTCCAACTATCATCCTTGATCCTACTCATTCCCAGGAACACCTAGATGACATAGGTTCTATTAAAAATAACTCTACACATAAGAGAGATCACTCACCAATCTCTGAAGATTGTTTTAAGCGGCTGAAAGATGTAGACCAGGTAAGTGTCTCTGTGCATAAGTTCCAATGCAGCATGAGTGTTAAAATTGATTGTCAAAGAGGACACAGTAGTTACATGACTGATAACAAAACTCCCTGAGCACTACAGCTTCTAACTAAGTGAAAGTTTCTTTGGAATAACTATAAATAGAGATTGTGATCTCTTGAAGAAAAACACCCAGATTGACTCAGACTTTAATAAAGATGAATATCTTAGTAGTAATAGCTCTTCAATGGGCATAAGTAATGTTCCTTCTCCCTCCCCCCCATGCACACTCACCTCCCATGGGGTTTATAGATAATTTAATTGCTTGTATAATTTATATCAAACAAATTGAGTTTGTTTCCTGGCAACACATTCAGGAGACATTCCTGCTTTTTGAACTATTGTCTTAGTTTAGCTATTGGGGAATGAAGTGAAGTAAGGAATGAATGAAAAGGCAGAATAATATGTTGCATGACAACATGATTGTTTGTAATTTGTTGTGTCTTTGAAGTGTGAAATGAAGGGCTAAACCTGGCTATACATAGCTTTCAATAATTTGGTGTATTTCATCCAAATTCAGCTCTATTATAATATCAAACTCAACATTAGTGTCAAGACTCAGAGATGGGAAGGAAGGAAAACACTACATTGCTTTGTACAAGTTTCATTTGTCAGAGTAAGTGGTGAGATAAATTGAATGCCGCAATTCGTTACATCATTTGTGCAATGACATCATGATGTATGTGATGTCAGTATAGCTTGTACCTGCTGCCTATGGCCCAGTGGTACTTGCATTTTGTCCAATGACTTATGCTTTTCTTCCTTTTAGCACAGCCTTAACAACACCCTGGCTCTTCCAACCTTTGATACACAAAGATCACAGGTATTAAGTGAACATTTACATTTGAAACAAAATTGGAGATAATAACTGATGCTTGGAAGACTTTTAATATTTATGTGGCTTTCATTTTATTTTTGTGTTCTGAAATACACCTACGTGCTTCGTAATTTGCTCTCACTGACAGGAACTTAGATTTGAGTGAGAAGAGGTGTTTCAGAGTATGCAGCCACCCGTCTCTGAGTTACTAAGAATATAATCCTGCTCTTAGGATTATGAGTCTGCACCAGGAAGCTCACAGTTCATGTGCTTTCTGAAGTATCTCTTTTATCAAATCTGAAGTATTGCCTACACTTAATATATAATTTGTACATTATACTATTTTTTAGGAGTTGCCACTCTTCTGCAAAGACTTCCAGATTGGCTTATAAATTAAAAGCTTTAACTCAACCATCTCCTTCAGTAGCAGTAAAAGAAAGCTGAGCAGCTGGAGATGACACATCTCTTAGCAGTAGGATTGATGTCAGATATTGCTTTGATCTAGGTTTGTACTCATATCTCTGGAATCTTGCTTTCCTCGTCTGATTTTAGTTTTCATTTGCAGCGGCTTTCTAGTAAAGAATTGCCAGATTCATCTTCCCCAATTCCAGCAAGTGGTATGGTTCGTGTTGTCAAAAACTCCATCAGACTGACTCTTAATCGATAGCAGTGCTTTACCAGGTAATAGTAAGGGCATTGCATTTTCATGACTATTGCTTATTTCTTTGGTTCAATTGTTGCTTTTACGCTCATGCTTCACTTTTGAATTTTGATGTGCCTGCAACCACTTATAATTTTTTTTAACTCACAGAAAAGGTGCCCTGATCCACTCCAGCTTTCTATCAGAATTATCTAGTACTAGAATTAGTTCCCCTTTTTCTCTTGTAGGGCTTATTTAATTTTTCCAACTTGATCTACAAGGATTGAGGGGGATGGCTGAGAAAGAAGACTTCCATTGTGTATGCAAAATTCCAGCTATACTGTGCTGTATTGAGTGGAATCCTGATTATATTAAATGGATATTTTTATAGATACCATGCACAGTTGTTGAAGTATGGAACATAATTTCTCATTTTATATTCATCAACTGTGTAGAGACAGTAATTCCCAAAATTTCCAACCAGTGTCTCTGTATCAGGAAGGCATTAGATTAAGAAATGATATTATAGCAACAATCAACAAATGTGTTGAATTTATGTTTTACCAATAAGGTATATTTTACTGAAGGTATGTTTTACTAATAAAATGTGTTGAATTTATGTTTTACCAGTAAAGGGAGACTAGTATAGATCTATTTCAAGCTATTTAACTCTCATCAACTAGCCACACACTGCTAGGATTCAAACCAAGGCTATTTGCATATTATGTAGATGTATTAACCTCTAAGCCACGGGCTCTCCTCGCTTTTTTGGCTATACCAGGGGAGAGATTAAATGTTTTTTTTTTCCAGTGAGACCGATCTATCAGGGCAAACTGGTCTACCCAATTATGGGATGGAGCATACTGCTTCGGCTTTTGCCTTTCAGCCCCAATCCAGGAGCCTTTGCAGGCAGTCACTTTCACAACAAACTATTTTCACGACAAACAAAAATAGTTTTGTATAATAATAGACTGGCCTCATGGGAAAAAACACTTAACAAATGAATGCTGGTCCTTTTTTATGCATAAATTTAACAATATGCAAACCTTATAATTTAAAAGAAAATAATATAAATAAGTTTCACTTTGAAACGCATAATTTTGAAATATTGACTCAAAAGAAAAAAGATTTTCATCAACAGCACTATATGATATTCTTCTGTTAAAAGGCATCCTGAAGTTACTGTATCCATACTACTAAAATAGAAAGCAACACTCAAAGAATGAAGACGGAGACTGCATCCAAAGGGTACAATCTCAGCTCCGGCTTGGATCTCTCATGACAGCTGGGAACTTCCTGAATCACTGCTCCGAGCTGGCTTCGAGGCAGTGCTTAGTGGACCAATATTGGCATTATACATAGCATCCCTCCTTCTTTAAAATGGCTTAATCTTCTATAGATTTCTCTCTTCAGGTATTACACTGTCATAATTGTAAAATTTCAAACTGCTAGTCCTCCAAAATGTGTGGTGTGTGGGTATTCTTCTAGTGTAAAGCTTATTCCCTTCATTTGGACCTTTATGTTCACTGTGCAAATGCATAGCTTTATTTTAAGTCTTGAATTGTTCTTTGTTATGAAAAACCCAAAAAAATATTTCTTTCCTTTATTTTTTCCTAAAGGGGATGGCATGCAGAGTACTTTGCCCTGGTGTGTTTCTAAATTGTTATTAATGTCAGTTCAGTACAGGGGTGCAGGTAGTCTGAAGCTCTCTCTTAAATATATTCTTAACACTGTTGTTTTAAACCAAAAATCCACAACTAGTCTCCATGGTATGCTTGCTGGTGATCTGCATAGCAGGTCGCCATAGGGGTTCTCATAAAGTGAAAAATGCACAGGAGTATGTGTGTATATATTGGAGGTACTTCTCCTTTAAAAAGCAATCTTTTTGGAATATATATAGAAGTCCCCCAAAAAGCTGCTTCCCCTGGAGACTCACAAAAGGAAAACTAGAGCACAATTTTGGTCATTGTTCAGTTGCATTAAAGCCCTATAATAGTCAGATATAAACTTAACTTCGATGCTTCTCTCTACACATCCAGCACTCCAATTTTAAACCAATGGGAATGAAATAGGCTTCAGTGTTTAGCTAGATTGCATAAATAAAAATGTAAACAGATTCATATCTTCAACAGTCCTGGAATGCAAGCAGAGTAATTAGTGTATTACTTGAATTTCAGAATTGTTAGACGGCCTTGTAAAACTATAATTTGCAATCCAATCCATTTTTTTCTCACATGTTGAAAGTTCTGAAAATTATTTTCCCTATTTTGGCCTGCCTTGTGAATGAGTGCTCTTTAATCTTTTGTGAACTGGGATTTGGGAATCATGAGTTTTACTCAAGTTTGACTTTTGTAGTTTTCTGAAAAACTTCACTAGAATCAATGTCTCCCACTAGAAGATCACTTGACTCTTCCAAACCCATGTTTCCTTCAGAGCCCATGGCCTGATATGCCAGGAGTAAATACTGTTTTCAAATCTTAAATTTTGTAATGTGTGCTTTTGTAAAAAAAATATAATCGAAACAAAAAGTGTATGCAGAGTATTTTTGTATGTACTGTAAAATATTTTTCAAAGAAATGTAAATCCTAGTCTCATCTGCTTCATTTATAGAATACTTATGAAGCTCTTTGCTTCTAGTGACAAAATAATGAAGGTAACAGGTTTTTATTCTGATAAAATGCAGATTGGTTATTCTCTGAGGAGATGTCTATGGAGATTTTCAGTCATCCAGGTCATGGTTGTCACAAAGACATGCTTTTTTCAAGAGGCAACCAGACTTTCTTGTTTTTCTTTGAAGACATTTCACTTCTCATCCAAGAAGCTTCTTCAGCTCTGACTGGATGGTAGGGAATGGAAGGATATATATTCCTTTCAGACAGCTGGTCAGTTGCATTCTTTTAGAAAGTCACTGAGGCCATTTGGAGATTTATCTGTGTCCTTGGGGTCACCTGACTAGTACAAACAGTTGTGGAGCCTTCTTGGAACTGCTGAAAGGACTCTCTGGTAGATTTTCTGAGGAGTTGCAAATGGAATTTTAGAAAGATTTTAAACTTGTAGACTGCAACTTGTTTTGAACCAAATTCAACATTAATTTAATTCTCCTAAATGACCATTGCAAACAAGCTGATACAAATCTGTGAAAAATGGTATGCTATTTAAAATTCAGACCAGAGGTAGTGTCAGTAGAACATAATTCCAACAAGATTCCTGTTTGATGTTATGAGCAGCTATAGTTCCTATTAATTTATATGGTATGGTTAAGATTGTTTGCCTGGAAATTGTTCTTTTGACTTAGGTCATCATGACAGTTTCAGTTTCAAACGGGGCTTAGTCATCTTGCACAAATAATAGATGCTCAAATCTGGCTACAAATTACATCGTTCTGGAAGATTTAATGAATCATTTTGATGATAATAATAATAATAATAACAACAACAACAACTGTGGAAAAAGAAATCAATAACAACAACAATAACTGTGGAAAAAGAAATCATGTGTTGTCCCGATTGTAATTGGAGCCCTTGGAGCAATACCCAAAGGGCTACCTCGCTATTTG